TGTGTGTGTGTGTGTTTGTGTGAGTGTGTGTGTGTAAGTGTGTGTGTGTGTGTGTGTTGATCATGGAAATAAGAGGCATTGTCTCCTCTGAAGCTACTCAACAAAGGCGCTGGAAACTGAACTCTGGTCCTTTGCAAGAGCAGTATACTCTTAACTACTGAGCCACTTTTCCAGCCCTGAATATGCCTTGAGTTCGAGTTGTGTAAGGAGCTCTGCACAGGGAAGGAGGAGGAACGGGAGCCCCATAGGTAAGGGCTACAGGAATGGTGTGCGCTTCTGCCAGGCTAAGTGTCCACATGTCTAACAAGTCCACACTAGCCTCTCCACTGGACAATTAACCCTGCTGACCCATGCCCTCCCATCCCTGCACATTGCCCCCACGGCTCCTGTCTGCAGGACAATCTATTGTTCTTCTTCCTGGGCCTGAGGCAAGCTGTTGGAACTCTAACTCACTCTTTTTGCTGACAAGATAACCTCAACAAACCAGAAGCCTTGGAGCTTGTGGACCCAGTGAGGCTGTGCTCCGAGCGCCAAGATGTCCTTTAGCTGTTCTAGACTGCTCCATCTGGGTCAGGGAAGGGTGCGGGTGGGAGGACATAATGGATATCACATGCTAGGAGGTGTGGCTGTGTAGCCCACTAGTGGTTCCAGCATCCAGTGAAGGCCTGCAGTCAGGCCTCAGCATGCACCAAATGCACACATCTGCATGCACAGTGGCCCTGGGTCCATAGGAGGCAACTTTCGACACCAGCACAGGGGGCTAGAGAGATCCCCCAGTCGTTAAGGGTGTGTACTGCTCTTACAGAGGATCCAGTTCAATTCCCAGGACCCTAGTTGGTCAGCTCGAAGCTGCCTGTAACTCCTGCTGTGTCTTCGCTGTCTGTGGGAACCTGCGCATACTTCTCCACCCACCCGTCCGCCTGCTCTTAATGAAGAATAATAAAAAAGTTGGCTGTGGAAGCCTTTAGTCCAGCATTTGAGAAGCAGAGGCAGATCTCTGAATTGGATACCTGCCTGGTCTACTCAGTGAGTCCCAGGGATACATGGTGAGACCTCCTCAAGAAAAAGAAATTATAAAGGGAGGAGCAGCACAGATGTCATCCTCAAGAAGTGAGGCACAGAGGAAGCATGTCCCCATGCCCCGTTTTTTCTCTAGCTCAATCACCAGGGACCTGGAGATGCATGGAGGTGGTATGCTTGCTATTCTCAGCCGGTTGGCACCTAGACTGCCAGCACTGAGCTCTGGGTATAGGCTAAGGCTGCCTTGTCTCCAGGCTTTCTTAGCCTTTTGCCCTTCAGCTACATCATAGCTCTAACGCCCAACAAGCTGATGGACTACCAGGGTCAATAACTCTGCCTCTCTGTCTTTGAAGGCTTGATTTGGGTACAAAGCTAGAGGATTTGGTCCTGCAGAATCCATCTCATGTCAGATATACCTGTCCTGCTAGAACAGACACCCTGGAGTGTCCTGAGCTTATGTCGGGAAGAATATAGAGGCTGTGGCTTACATGCCTGCCAATGGCCAGCCAGGCCTTTACCTTGGTCTCTCTCTTTCTTAGTGGGAGAATAGGTCACCCGGCTTCCAAATGCAGAATCAGCAGCAAGTGCTCTAGAGGCCCCAGGCTCTAGTGCATACCTTGTTCTGGACCCTTCATAGACAGGCAATTGAAAATTGCTCACCTATGGTTTCTAGTAACAAAAGGTCTCCAGTGGCTCAAGTGAACCTTGGGCAAGTGCGAGCTTCCCCTTCCCAAAGTTCCTAAGACACTCCTGATACAGGGGTAGACACCAGATAGCTATTTCAAAAAGTGTCTTTTAATTGTTCAAAATAGCACACACACAAAAAAAAAACTGCACTGTGGTAATTTTGAGTCACAGGGGTTGAATGAATAGGGTAGTACTGCTCTCAGAAGAGAAGTCAAAGGGTGCTTGGGAGAAGGCATAGGGAAATCAAAGGGACCAGGCGAGTCATTTTCCACAGGGAAACACGGTGCAATACACTAGAGGCCCCAGTGGTATGGGCCTGAGTGGCTGAACACACTGGCTGTCCATTTTTAAATCCTTCAGTAATGTGTTTGCTAGCATCATGCATACCCTATAACTTGGATTCTGGATAGAAAAACCTAGAGCTTGGGGACAATGCTAGGAAATGAATTACTAAGTTTGTGTCATGTACCTATCCCCAGCCTTTGTGGAATATATGGCTGAATAGACACAAGAAGCTGCTCAGGGGAGGACTTCTGTGACATGGCCAAGCCTGCAGGGACCGCAGGCCAGTCAAACCAGTCCCATAGTGAGGGCTAAGTGTTCCCATTAAGGATAGTAAGCTAAGGGATGCAGGCGTAGGGGGCATTGACCTAAGTTTTTTGTCTATTGTTTTCTACTGGCAATTACCAACTTCAGAGTTTACCCTGTGATGTACAGGGGAATCATAGCTGAGGACCCCACCCCACCACAGGTCTTTTGACAATTATCTCTGGCTTGATTTAGCAACACTTCTTCCCTCACCCATATCTCAAGCAAAGGCTGCCTGTCCTGCCAGCTGCTAACAGCACTATACCCCACCCCTCCAGACTGAGGGCCCAGAAGAGTACCACAACACCCCCCCACACACACACACCCATACACATATATCAAGCACAAAGACACACTGTCTTGGCTTCTAGTAAGTGGGATGCCCACAGACAGGTCATCAGCCGTATCCTCAGAGCAGAACACTAATTGATTTCTTCATTTAGCAGAATGGTGCCCTCACACATTTCATTCCGGGCATATTTTAGATATTAGTGTCTACTCTTCTGGAGGTAGTACCATAGCGGGGGAACAGATAGCCTGGGGAAAGAGCTATGATAGAATGGGGAAGGATCCATTGTTGAATGGAAAAGGAACCATGGTAGAATGGGGAAAGATTCCTTATAGAATGGAAAAGGAACCATGGTAGAATGGGGAAAAGATTCATTATAGAATGGAAAAGGAACCAACGTAGAATGATGAGGAGCAATGATGGGTGCTTGTAGGATGCACACACAGCCCAAGTGTGTTGGCACAAACCTGTAATCCCAGTACTCAAGAAGTAGAAGCAGAAATATCCAAATTTGAAGATCATCTTTGGCTATAATGAGAGTTTGAAACTTGCGTGGGCTGGCTTCAGGGGACACTGCCTTAAAATAAATGTAAGTATACAAAAAAGCAAGAGAGAGAAGGTGGTGGTGGTACACACCTTTGATCCCAACACTCAGAAGGCAGAGACAGATTTCTGTGGGTTTGAGGCCAGCCTGATCTACAGAGCTAGTTCCAGGATGGCCCACAGAGAAACACTGTCCTGAAAACAAAACAAAACAAAACAAAAACAAACAAAAAAAGAAGAAAGAGAAAGGGAGAACGAAACAGAAGCAAAAAGAAACAGAAAGAAAGCAAGAAAGGAAGGCAGGCAGGAAGGAAGGAAGGCAGGAAGGAAGGAAGAGCAATCGAGCAAGGAGAAGGAATTGGGGGTGGGAGGGAAGGGAGGGAAAGTAAGGAGTGGGAGAGGAGAGCAGATGTCAAAAAGCTTGTGGTCCAGGATTCCAGCTGGACGCCCAAAGAGAGCTAAATCTAGGGATAGAGTCCTGTGTACTCATTTCATTTTCAGGGTCCCTCTGCTACTGTGAAGGCAGCTACTTATCTAAGGAAAGGAGTGGGTGCTGGGACCAGGGAGCCAGTCTGCAAGGCAAGCCCCAGGGTAGCAGTTCAAAAGAAATCCACTGTGAAGAGATCAGAATGGGTGGATTTCGGTCTTGACAGTTACTTTCCTGGGCCTATGAGAGGAAAGGCCTCCTTAGGTATCTCCTGCTCTGACCTCCCCATCTTTTCTTCTGATTTCCTTTCTTGGTGTGTCCCTTGCCTGCTTTTAGACTCCTCTATGGTGGGACTTACTCCTTTCCCTGAGTCCAGGTGCTCCAGATCCAGAGGCCTGCATGGCCTACTCATCAGCCTCCACATCACTCACTGGGCTCACTTGGGTGGGCTTTGGGGCATACCCTTAATGTGGTCACCGGAATTGCTAACTTTCCAGTAAGGGGACAAGTTAGGTAGAAGGAATCTGGTGCATATGTATTTGTAAACTCCCAACACTGAAGCCAAAGCAAAGCCCACCATACCAAGTGTCACTGTCACCAGCCTCCTGAGGCTGAAGTGGTATGTGCCAGCCACTAATTAGGATGGGTGCTAATGATGCTGACTCCAACTAGGGGAGTCTCCACTAAATGAGGATAATAGGTTTTCAAGAATGGCAATTTAAGTTCATTCTGAGCATACCCTTCCTTGTTGGCTTCCCTGCCCTCCAAAAAAGGATGTAATACCCAAGGAGGGACCTATTATGGCTGCACAATGCCAAGTGCAGCAGCAGACCACAGTACCGCGTGGATTCTCCACTGGCAGCAACAGCACTTCTGGTTCAGAACATGTACTCCAGCCAGCATCACAGAGTTATAGATTGCAAGCCAGTCACATCTGAGGTCCACAGGGGGCAGGAAACTGCTGCCCCAAGTCAGTCTCCAGGTTGTGCCATGGCAGAGCTTTCAGATCTCAGCTCTAAGAACCTTGACTTCCTACCAAACTTGATCTGACCCTGCTCTGGCCCCAGTGTGTTCTTGGCACCTTGGCTGTCCTTTGCAGTGGTTACTACCATGCATGAAATCAGCTGTGTGCAACTCTTCTCTCTTCAGGCCTGTGACCTACTAAGGGCAAGGACTGCTTCTCTTCTATGCAAAAAGTCTTTTCCAGAATCTAGAACAAACATAAACAAAGATCTGGCAGCTGGGTGTGGTGGCCCAAGCTTGTCCTCGCAGCCCTGGAAGGTTGAAGCCCACAATGCTGCAAGTTACATATCAGCTTGAGTAAAATAGTGAGTTCAAGATTAGCCTGGGCCCTCACAAGGGTCCCTGTGAGCCAGGCCTTCACTCTCACTTCTGCTGACCAGTGGTGTAGACTTGATGGCCACCACTATGAGACTATGCTGACCTCTCAGAACATAAAGTGTCAAGACAGTGCTGCTGTTCCCGGACAGTTGGGAGGACCATGAGAAATACAAGCCACAAAAGCTGGATGCCCTGAATGAGCAAGAGCCATCTTAAAGACAGTCTTGTGCCAAACTCCAGTTTCTTGGTGGGAACTAACTGCCGTTGGCTGATTGAAGTGACTGAGATCTTTTCAAGGTCCTTGGGCTTCACAACAATTTTGGTTGGTTTCGTTTTTTCTGCAACAGGGTTGTCCTGAACTCACTCTGTAGACCAGTGTGGCCTCTGAAGGGCCCAGAGTAAGTCTGAACATTAGACCACTTGCCCACCTTCTTCTATTGCTTGACCCTTGCCCTATAGTCTCAGTGGCGGGAGAACAGTTGGTTAAAAATTAAGAGTCCTCAAGGAGTGGATGGGGGATGGGGTTGGAGGGGAGGTGTGGGGGCAGCAGGAGGAGGCAGGAAGGGGGAGCTGTGATTGGCTTGTAAAATGAAAAAAATGTTTCAAATAAAAATTAAAAAATAAAGACCCCAGCTGTGTCAAGAGCAATGCTGACATAATCACAGATTTGGGTAAGCAAACCCACAGTTTAGCTTGAACTAATCGTAAGACGTTATCACAAGTTGTAAATTCCTGGAAGGTACTGTCCAGCACATCTTCAAATTGTAAGATTTCTTTCATTCTGTGACCCCCTACCCACCCACTCACCTACCCCCCACCCCCGACACACACTTAGGGATTTCGTTTTAAAAAGGACTTACTCCCTCTGTTTCAGGTCACAGTTAGAAGTTCTGGCACCCCTGTGCTGATGGAATAAAGTTGCTTCTGCTTATCTAACTTTGGTGGCCTCATTTTCAAGATGTGTGCGATTCCCAGAACCAACACCTAGAACTCAGAGAGCCACGCGCCTCCACCTCTCAGAGTGCTGGGATTAAAGGCCTGTGCTACCATGGCCCAGCTGCTTCTCTTAGGAAGCAGGATGGAATCCTAGTCACCACCTGCTGGCACACCCTCCGTAGTCGCCTCAAACTTCCACCAAGATGGAGGACTGGGTCATTCTTCCAAAGGCAGGTACTCTAACAACTATAGCCCCAATGCATCACTAAGTCACACTTTGGTATAAGTTGTTTGCACCAAGTAAGTACACTGGAATCTCAGCTACTCAGAAAACCCCAAGGGTCTTTGCATTCGGCTGTGCTATGCGACACTGCTTCTTTGAGCTTGCATCATCAATAGCTTAAAAGATCGAGCCATTGAGAGTAGGAATGGGAGTCAAAATATCTGCAGCAAACAAGAAACTGGGGTGAGGGTGTGGGGGGGGGGATAGAAGCTGCCTCCTTTCCTGTGCAAGAGTTACCCGCCACACCCTGAGGAAATGAAACTGCCAGCTAAGAACTTCCAAAGCGCCTGGCCAGAATCCAAAGGTCTAACAGCTTAAGGCTGTAAGATCAGCGCAGCTGAATTTCTCTGACCCACATTAAGTCTTCTAGCCTGACCCAGGGCCAGCAACCCTAACCTGCAAGTCAGTTCAGGGCCAAAAGGAGGCGAAGGTGGCAGCGGACCCTCCTCCGCAGTAAACCAGGCCTGAAACTGTCTCT